GCCTCCCCCCCCCCCCCCCCGCCCCGAAGGTGTACAAATAGACTTCATATTCTGTGTTCATTTTCTACTCTTAACAGATGTTTGCTGTATCCTGTAAGTGCTATAATTTGGTTGAGTTTGATTTTTCTTTTGTAATATGATATTACCAGACTGAACAAAAAGCCCGAAAAGCCTGGTCAGGCCTCATAGCTGACCCTGCTTTGAGCAGGATGTTTGGCTAGAGCTCTCCAGAGATCGCTTCCAACCCGAATTATCCTGTGATTTTTGTGAGCCTTCAGTGAGAATGCCCATATAGGTAGATACTCTGATATAATGTCTAGTTACTCTATGTATGTAAAAGGAATTGTACTCTGTCACACTGAAGTTCTAGCTAGCTTAGTGCCCCATTTCTAACAGTGGCCAAAACGGAATATCCAGGGAACGGTGTAAGAACAGGCTGAACGTGACATTCCCCTGACAATTTTCCTAGTTTCCAGTTACTTGCCGTGCCTTTTTACTTCAAATGGAAATTTATTTATTTTTTATATCTTAGGTTTTAATGTTTTCCCTTTTACTTTGCAGAGGAAGATGTGCTGTGGTTAGAAAATGTATAGCTAAATCCACAGGCCAAGAATATGCAGCTAAATTTTTAAAGAAAAGAAGACGAGGGCAAGACTGCAAAGCAGAGATTCTTCATGAAATTGCTGTACTTGAATTAATGAAATCTAATCCGCGCATAGTCAATCTCCATGAAGTCTATGAAACAGCAAATGAAATAATCTTAGTGTTGGAATAGTAAGTATGCTTTCATCAGATGTTCCCCGTTTTTTAGTTAGAAATCTGTCAATATATTCATTTTTAGCATAAGTACCCTGTACAACAGTACCCTGTGTGTATTGTGCTGGCGTTTCCTTATGATATATTTTAGTAAACTCTTGGGGCCTTTTTCTGTTTGATTTATTTCCATGTGAATTTAAGTGCTGAATCCTTTGCTGTTAGTTTCAAATGTTTGTAGTGAATCTTGCACGTGTATTTTGTTACATCCATAGCTAGAGAGTTATGTCAAACAATATGGAGTAGAGTCTTAAAACAAAATAGACCAAAACTTGTCCCAGTTTTGTACTCAAAGTTTGAAGAGTACTCCTTCATTCTGTTATATGAATGTGTGTGTTAAAACAACAGAAAACTGGGAAATATAGGGTGCAGCTGTGCTTTACATCCTTAGGACGTACATGCCAGAACAGTGACATTAAGCATCGCATTTCATACAGGAAAAGTAAGCAAATAGATCTGGTTGAAGTGAAACTCCAATATTCTCACTCTTACTTTTTCCTGTTGCATGCCTTTTTTTTTTTTTTTTTTTCATACATTCTTATGTCTGCTGGTATCTTTGCATGTGTGGTTTACATTCTTCAAAATCAAATTTTTAGCAAGATCATTGTGACAAATTTAAAGGTAAGACAGAATTAGAAAGACCGAACACGAAAGGAATTGACTACTAAATGTTGCTGGTAATATATGTACAAGCCTGAGACCGTACATGATGAAGTGGATGGACTGATAGAGATTTTTTTTTTGACAAACCTTTGATACCAACAGCTAAAAAATAAAAAGAGGAAATAGAGGAAATTCTTTTTTTTTTCTCCTCACTGAGTAACTCATAGTTGCACAGACAATTGGTTTCACCCTTGATGTAAACTTAAATTTTTTTTGTTTGTGCATTTAAATACTGTTTAACTCAGGGGTAATTTTGATTAAAACTTGTGTGTTTAACTCGAACAGATTATTTCTTCTGCTAGTTGAGTTTTGTAAGAAGCTCTGTGGTGAATTTTTAAGCAGGTTAACCTAATACAAAAGCTGAATGCAAATAAGAGGATGCAATTTTTTTTTTCTTAAAAGAATTTCTCACGTCAAGCTGTCCAGAGAGAACATCCTTGGCTCCCATAGAAGGTTTATAGCACTTTACATATTAAATAATTCAAAAAAAAAAAAAAAGTAGCCACTGATTCTGCGTACACAAATTGGCCCTGCCTTTTCAGAGGAGCTGCACACATGCACACTCTGTCAGCTTCAGTCACTGCTTGACACTTTTTGGTCATCTAACACTTGCAATTCTTTTGCAGATTCTGAGCTTTTAAGTTAGTATTCTACCTGTTCTAAAACTGTTTGGCTTTTCAAAGTGCTTCCTCCAAAATTCCCCCCCCACTTTTTTTTTTTTTTTTTAGATGCCCTTGTCGCTGTTCATCAGCTTTGAAAACAAGTCTCTTTATTTGGGGATCTATTTTGAATTATCCATCATGTTTGTTGTATATGTAAATATTTGTTTGGAATGTAAGGAACAAAAATGTGAATTGTGAAATGAATTCAACAAGGTTTCTTCTGAATAAGATTTAGGCTTTGTGTATAAACAATTAGATATTAATGGTAGTCTATACCCATTATGATAGATTAATTTGAATTTACCAAGTAATGTCCCTATGTGTTAAAAACAAAACAAAAAAGGCAATGCTTCTTGTATGGAACTACGCTATGCTTCTTGTATGTTATTCCTAACGCATTATTTGTTCTTCTGGAAAGATTAATGTAATAATCTAGAAGTAAAGGCAAATTCCAGGTGACAAGTTTTGAACCTCTTATTAAGAGTAAGTGGAAGTTCACGTAAGAGCTATACTGATTTTTGTACTTCCGTTTCAACTCAGCTAACTTTGCCTTGTTTATTGCAGCTCTCTAATGACACAACTTCCTGGTAAAATGATGTTAATCTTAATGGTCTACTTTGTAGCAATGTTCAGAAGTCTTGTAGTAAACTTTCCTAATGTTGGGATGAGTGGAGGGCTGATTACACTTCTGAATTATTTACTTGTGTAGCAGAAGATGCAGGGCTTTTTAGTGTTTCTCGTCATTATCTTAAGCAGTACTGTCAAAGAATTGTAAGAAATGATTCTCTCTCACTCTTAAATGTATAAGTGTTTCCCATTTCACCATATTTTTCCTGCTATATAGATGGTCCTCACTACTGTTGGAATCTATCAGCGGGGTTCTTTGGAAGATGTAATAGTAAGAATTAGAGTTTGTTTAAGCTCACATCCTCTAAATAAAGCAGAGGAATAGATGCCAATTCTTAATAATCTTTGCAGAGAGAATTACTGAAGACTTGAAGGTTGTTACTTTTCTAATCTGTGGTTCAAAGGTAACTGGAGAAATCTGTTATCCAGAGAAAGAAATCTGGCAGCTGTACTAATTCATTTTACAGCTGTGCCTGGAAGCTGTAGTAATTAATTTTCACATCCATCTAATTTTGTTTATTGCAGGACTATGAAAGGCCATACAGACTCAGGTCAATGGTCCATCTAACCCACGGTGATTTCTAGGAATGGCTGTAGGAGAGGCTGTTTTCCTTAGGAAGAGCTGAGGAACAAATGAGCCTGTCCACTTTCTGCTGTCCGTTCTCCTTGTGCTCTCCCAGCAACCGAAAGTATATTGTATTAAGGATAGTAGAGGATACATCTCTGCCTGTTCCTTTTAATATCCATTTATGGACCTGTAGTCTGTGAATCTGTTTAGTCCTTTTTTTAACCTGCAGGTACTGACTCTATACCTTCTGGGGTAACAAATTCCAGATGTTCTTTGCCTGCTGTGTGAAGAAATACTTTATCTGTTTTAAACTCATCTACTAGTTTAATCAGGTGCCTCCTAGTTTTCCTGTTATGGGATTTGGTGAATAACAGTTCTTTGTTCATTTCTGAACCAGCCTTAGTAGTTTTTTAAGCCTCGTTCTTGCACTCTCCTACAGCATTCTCCTCTTTAAATGGAAAAGTCAGACTCTTCTGTTTCTTCTTGTAAAGCAACTGTTCTGTTTTCTTATTTGTCCTTTGCGTTTTCACTAATCTTATTATAACCTTCCTGAAGGTACAGGGACCAGAACTGAGTGCAGTAGTCAAAGCACTCTAAGGTTTTACATAGAGCATCATTTTATGGCTTTGTTTTCTTCTCAGCAGCCTTCTGATGATGCCCAATGTTTGTTGGCTTTCTTTGGCTGCTGCTGTGCATCAGTCCAGTTATTTCAAGAGAATTGTCAACAATTGTTCTGAGATATTTCCTGAGTTGTGACTGCCAGTTCTGACTTTAATGTTCTGTAAGCTTGTATTAGATTATTTTTCTCATGATATCTTGCATTTATCTATGCTACAGCTCATCTGGTACTCTCACCCACTTCCTCATTTTCTCCTGCTGAGCTCTCTTCAGTTTGCTAATGTCTTGAATTGGGGAGTCAAAAGCTGGGTGTGATATTCTAGATGTGGTCTAATAAGTGCTGAGTTGAGTCACTTGCTTTAATCTACTGCCTGCGCTCCTGTTATTACAGCCCAGTGTGCTGTTGGCCTCTTCTGCTGCATTCAGCTTGCTCTCTGCCAGGATTCCCAAGTCCTTTTCAGCAGAGCTGTTCAGCTTTTTATCCATCCAGTTGTCCATCCATTCAGCCTATAAGGTCCTAACATAGATATAATACTACTGTGGTAGAACATCATTAGAAGCCTTGCTGAGGTTGAAGTAAATGATCTCCACTGCTCTCCCTTCATCCACGTTTTGTCACAGAAAGCAATCTGATCAGGCATTATTGATGTCTTGCAGAGCTCCAGCAGGTTAGTGACTATGTTTGTCCATGCTGTCCATTATCTTAACTTTTTAAAATAGATTTTATCATTTTACTAAGGATGGCATGCAGGCTTACTGATCTGTAGTTCTGAGGAACTCCTTTATGCTAAAGAGAGAGAAATTTCAGGCAGTTAAAGCAGGCTGAGTAATGATTTCAAGCCCAGCATGAAAGGAAACATTTTGTACTGCCACAGTGTCAATAATAACCAAGAAACCACATGCAACACAATGACGCAAGATTATTTTCCTGTTTCCTTTATGCTCTACTAACGGTAGGGTTTTCTATAGGGAGAAGAGCTTTATTCTGAGGGAGCCATTTTGAGTGGCTTTGTGAAAACCTGAAGCTTGTCATTCGCATCTTTGTTATTAGTCTGGAAATGGCAGATTTCAAAGTGACAAAATTGAGGCCTCATGTTTCTGAATATTCTGTATCTGCTGGAGTTCTGGAAGATACTGCTCATAGTCTGACTAACCTGTGTATTACAACATCATCAGAGTGCTAGATTTTCTTCCTGGTACCTCTCTGACAGAAGTATGTGATTGCTAGCCTTGCATCAGAATGGCAGGACCTATAATAGTAATTGTGCAGTTTCTTCCCACCTAGAAATACTCTTGAGCAACTCTAGCTATTCGTTGCATTGTTGTTTTGTGCCTTTGAAATAAATTTGTATCAAAAAAGCCAACCACAGGAATACTGTTGGGCCTTCTTCCCTCAAATTGTTTATGGAACTGGCCTAACTGAAGGTTTGGACATGTTCCAGAAATTTTAGGTTCCTTTTCAAGAGATAGGCTTCTTCTATTTGAGAATGATGATAGTACTCGTCTTCCTGAAGGCTTGTTCAGGCCCAGTTGCAAGAAGGCAAGGGTGAGGTTTCCAGAGCATTGTGAGGAATTCAACCAAAAAATTCTTTCACTGTCTCAACCCCTATTGCCTGCTTATGTGCATGTTATGTCTTGGCATGCGTGTTTAAAAAATAACTTTCTTAGCAGCTGCTAGGATGAATATTCAGTAAATAAGTATTGATAAATATATATGTATGCACACATATAGTATCTATTTATATAGATTTTTATATATGTACAGTTTTTCTCACTTAAGCTTGATGTTTCAAGTTTAATACACCAGTGTTCTTGAATGTGTTTCAGTGCTGCTGGAGGAGAAATCTTTAACTTATGCATCCCAGACCTGGATGACAGAATTGGTGAAAGTGATATTATAAAACTTATAAGACAAATACTGGAAGGACTTTGCTGCTTGCATGAAAACAATATTGTGCATCTTGATTTAAAGGTGAGGCAACATCGGACTTCTTTCCTTTAGTACTTTACCTTCAATTTAATATTGTGAGCATCAAAATCATTTGTAAAACATAAAGATGAGCAGAAGAGGCAATATATTAGAGATTAAATAAAAACTTAGAATACAGAAGACGGAGTACAGATCATGTCTCTGTTCTGTCTAGCAACTGCAGGTTTCTGTGGTCAAAAAAGTATGAGATAAGCACTGCAAGTATGAGCTTGTCTTTAAACTCAATTTTTAAATAAAATTTAGCAACAAGTATTGCATAGTATAAACTGGCATGTCATTTGGTGTATTGTTTTTTGTGCAGCTTGTAGTTTATGAATTAGAGAATTAAATCTCTTCTCTTCTAGCCTCAAAACATCTTGCTGAGCAGCGTCAATCCTCTTGGTGATGTAAAGATTGTGGATTTTGGTATGTCTCGGAAGATTGAGAATTCTAGTGAACTGCGGCAAATCATGGGAACAACAGAATATTTAGGTATGGAAGAGTTCCTTTAAAATTTCTGATGTGCAGTTTCCTGGAAACAGAACAGTTCATACATTGTGCTTATGAACTTATGAGCCATTACTGGAGAAAGAAGAAGAGGACAAAACCTAACTTTGTTTCGGGCTGTTCTCTTTCTTTAGAGAAGTTAACAAATGTTTGCACAAACCTCCCAAACTACATCAAGAAGGGCACCTCTAATTCGATGCTTTCGTTCTTGCTGTGATGCGTTCTTTACAACTGAGTAGCTTTATGGGTTAAATTAATAAGAATTTGTTACTCGCTAAAATTTTGCGATTAGCACCCAAATACAGCATTAGCATGCATACGAAAAACCATGTTATTTGAATTAGGTTTGGAGTTCAGTATGATGCTTATTGAGATCAAAATATTCTTGAGAAAGATTTATGTCATTATGACTTGATCTTCTCTGTGAAGCAGGTTTCCTTAAAGATCTGTCTGTCTGTGTTGTTTTCTTTTTGTTTTATTTTTTAAGAGCACTTGAACCTGTGGTGCATAGCATGCTATCCAGTGTCTGCTTAAAGCAGCTGATCTTAAAAATGGCCTAGTCACCTGACTTTACAGAGTTACTGTGCTGAAGGCTTTGTGTATTCTTCTTAAAGCTATATACTGGAAACCCACTGAGAAAATCTTAATCTGTGCATATATCTGAATTTAAAATATTTTGGGACTTAGAGTCGATTTCGTGCCATGTAATACCATTTCAGTCTGAACCAATTAAGCATCAATGTGTCTGATCAAACTGAAGTAACGTCTTTCAGCCTGTGGCTTGAAATAGTAAACTTGATTGCTCAAACGGCATGCTTAGTCTTATAACTGGTTGGCAAAAAAAACTTTGCCAAAAAAATCAGATTATGTTTCAAAGGATGCTTGAATACATAGCACCTATTACAGTCTTTTTTTCTTCTCTCCTCTCTTTCTCTAGCTCCAGAAATCTTAAACTACGATCCTATTACCACAGCTACAGATATGTGGTAGGTGGTATACTTTCATTAATTTTGACGAGATAGGCATGACTAATGAGCAGTCTAGGGGCTAGATGCAGTTTTTGATACAATTTTATCCAGCTTCCAAAAATACTTTTCTCTTGGTGGGCCAAACAAAAGAGGGGAGGAGAAAGACAGCGCTCAGTATATATTACTGGTGCTGGCAGGAATTACTGCATATGGATGTGTATTGTTCCCTGCCTAGTAGGGAATGCAAGTGGCTTCTGAGCATACACAGCACTGACGTTTGTTCTAAGGGAATAATAATAATAATTGGATAAGATGCTTTGGGTATTAGTTACTCCTGGATAACATTGGTGAACATACTTCAGGTATTGGAATAATTGGATAACATACTTCAGGTATTAGCTACTCTTGGACACGCGCCCCCCCCCCCCGCCCACCCCCCTCTTCAGTTTCTT